CAATTTCCTTTTCAAAATTCTTCCCATATGTCAGTGTCAGACTCTTCTACACTTCTTATTTTAGCAAGGTACCAGGCAAGCATTGCAGAATAGTTGATTAAATCTAAAACAAAAAAGTATTTCACATAGTCTTCCAGTGCTGCAAGGTACAAATTCCAATTAGCAGTCCCACAGATCGAATAAACAGCAGCAAAGACTCAACCATCTTCATGTGTCACCGTACCATCCCAAAAGTTGGCTTTGCTGTCGATTCAACCTGATCAAGCTGCTTGTTCCGTTCTGCGATGTTGCAGCTCTCCATCGTATGCAGTAGGTCATCGAGAGACTGGATGTGTGGAACTGGTCTCGCAAGTCCTGTACACGTTGGTAAATTATTTCAAACACACGTATGTTATGTAATTATATGCAAACCATTTGTGGATGGATTCAACTAATTTCTGGTTAGATGCTAAAATCTTAACAAGTGCCTCATTATTATTCTTTGCATAATAAAGCTGATGATCAATACCACTGAACTGCCTTTTTTTTTTTTTTTTTTACCAATAATGGCAAATCAGCTTGAAGCAATCCTTCTGTTTATATAAAAACAACAAGGAGTCCGGTGGCACCTTAAAGACTAACAGATTTATTTGGGCATGAGCTTTCGTGGGTAAGAAAATCTCACTTCATGCATCTGAAGAAGTGGGTTTTTTACCCACGAAAGCTTATGCCCAAATACATCTGTTAGTCTTTAATGTGCCACCAGACTCCTTGTTGTTTTTGTGGATACAGACTAACATGGCTACCCCCGATACTTGATTCCGTTTATATAATAATCTGAAACATTAAAAAATTAATCCATGTATCGTTTTAAGCATTAACTGGTAATACAATACTGTCAGTCAAGAGCCACAATTTAACTTTGTGAGAGCTGCATGTTTGACCTGCCTGTGTTTAGTATAATTAAAACATTTTTTTTCAAATATCTATCCATGCAATTGTCATGTTTGGTACCATTGTGTTTGCAGGCGAGAGGGCATTTGAGCGATACCCAACTCAACCAACTTCTGACAACATTATCAACATTTCCACCAACCAAAGAGGTCCTGAAGTTGGAAGCCAGGATGGGGAGGGGACAATGAGTCCTCCGGCCACACTGTAGAGAGTGACAACATTGAAATTATGATTCTATAGATTTTTATAAATTGACACCTCCCTTACCTTTCTACCATTAACCTTTCTACCATTACACATGCTTCCAGCCTATAAAGTGAAATTAGGATTGTTTCAGTATTACACTGCTGCTGAGGAAATGCTATGTGCAGGAATAGCAACGTTTATGGCTTCTGTGGGGGAGTTCCCATGGAAATATCAAAAATAGGGTGAGTACAGGGAAAATAGGGAATTTGTATGACCATGTGCACAATTTAACCCTCAGAAAATGTTAGACTCAGAAGTATGTGATGTTCCGGAGCTTCTCACCTATAAGATTACTGGTTCAAATTTGGCTTTGGTCTATAAGACAATTTTCCTTCAGTTTTTCCTCGGTAAAGTGGGGATAATATGTTATTTGATGGCCTTTGTAAATTGAGTTGAATGGTGGCTTCCATTCTTTTCATCACACCGCCAGGCACCATTGTTTAGTCTCACTCAACACAGATGTTATGAATAGGTATGCAGACTGAACTACCCTCTCATGCAGAGACTGACAAATTTCAGGCCTTGTTATATCTACTTGCTGAGAAATTTGAAAGGTGGGAGGTTCCCCAGTAATATTCAGGAGCTGGTCCCTGGTGAGAAGCTAATTGTCTCTGCCACTAGCCACTGGAAAGGGCTGTGTTTTCTATTGGATTTTGTCTCCACCCTGCTCAGTGACAGAGGATGTGGAAAAAGCTAATGTACTCAATGCTTTTTTTGCCTCTGTCTTCATGAACAAGGTCAGCTCCCAGACTACTGCACTGGGCAGCACAGTATGGGGAGGAGGTGACCAGCCCTCTGTGGAGAAAGAAGTGGTTCAGGACTATTTAGAAAAGCTGGACGAGCACAAGTCCATGGGGCCGGATGCGCTGCATCCAAGGTTGCTAAAAGAGTTGGCGGATGTGATTTCAGAGCCATTGGCCATTATCTTTGAAAACTTATGGCGATCGGCTGAGGTCCCGGATGACTGGAAAAAGGCTAATGTAGTGCCCATCTTTTAAAAAAAGGAAGGAGGAGGATCCAGGGAACTACAGGCCAGTCAGCCTCACCTCAGTCCCTGGAAAAATCATGGAGCAGGTCCTCAAGGAATCAATTCTGAAGCACTTAGAGGAGAGGAAAGTGATCAGAACAGTCAGCATGGATTCACCAAGGGCAAGTCATGCTTGACTAACCTAATTGCCTTCTATGATGAGATAACTGGCTCTGTGGATGAGGGGAAAGCAGTGGATGTGTTATTCCTTGACTGTAGCAAAGCTTTTGATACGGTCTTCCACAATATTTTTGCTAGCAAGTTAAAGAAGTATGGGCTGGATAAATGGACTATAAGGTGGATAGAAAGCTGGCTAGATCGTCGGGCTCAATGGATAGTGATCAATGGCTCCATGTCTAGTTGGCAGCCGGAGTGCCCCAAGGGTCGGTCCTGGGGCCGGTTTTGTTCAAAATCTTTATTAATGATCTGGAGGATGGCGTGGACTGCACCCTCAGCAAGTTTGCAGATGACACTAAACTGGGAGGAGTGGTAGATAGGATACAGAGGGACCTAGACAAATTAGAGGATTGGGCCAAAAGAAATCTGATGGGGTTCAACAAGGACAAGTGCAGAGTCCTGCACTTAAGACGGAAGAATCCCATGCACTGCTACAGACTAGGGACCAAATGGCTAGGCAGCAGTTCTGCAGAAAAGGACCTAGGGGTTACAGCGGACGAGAAGCTGGATATGAGTCAACAGTGTGCCCTTGTTGCCAAGAAGGCTAACAGCATTTTGGGCTGTATAAGTAGGGGCATTGCCAGCAGCTCGAGGGACGTGATCATTCCCCTCTATTCTGTATTGGTGAGGCCTCATCTGGAGTACTGTGTTCAGTTTTGGGCCCCACACTACAAGAAGGATGTGGAAAAATTGGAAAGAGTCCAGCGGAGGGCAACAAAAATGATTAGGGGGCTGGAGCACATGACTTATGAGGAGAGGCTGAGGGAACTGGGATTGTTTAGTCTGCAGAAGAGAAGAATGAGGGGGGATTTGATAGCTGCTTTCAACTACCTGAAAGGGGGTTCCAAAGAGGATGGATCTAGACTGTTCTCAGTGGTACCACATGACAGAACAAGTAGTAATGGTCTCAAGTTGCAGTGGAGGAGGTCTAGGTTGGATATTAGGAAAAAACTTTCACTAGGAGGGTGGTGAAGCACTGGAATGCGTTACCTAAGGAGGTGGTGGAATCTCCTTCCTTAGAGGTTTTTAAGGTCAGGGTTGACAAAGCCCTGGCTGGGATGATTTAGTTGGGGATTGGTCCTGCTTTGAGGAGGGGGTTGGACTAGATGATCTCCTGAGGTCCCTTCCAACCCTGATATTCTATGATTCTAGAGCTCTCTTTATCAGCCTCTGGCTAATAGGTATATTGTAAATGTCAGGCTTCAATGACCCCCTCCCAAACTGGTGGAGAGGAAAAGGGGCTTTCTCTCTTTGCTTCTCCAGCTTTCCCACAAAGTTTCTTGTCTCCGTTTCTCTATCAGAGGTGTGGGAGATGGTGGGAAGGGAGAAGAGGTCTCTGGTACTCTATCCTTGCTCTAGCCTCCATTTTATGGTCCTTCTCTGTAGTGAATAATTCCAGTGCCTGCCTCTGCTGTTACTTATAGCTTTCCTAAGGAGCAGAATGAATTGTTAAGAATTCTTGACAGTTTCATTACTGTCCACAATGTTCTGAATAGCATCTGTGAAACTGACCAGAATATTGTTAACTTCACTGCTCTTGGTGCTGTTTTCCTGAGTCTTTAGGAAGCCCACAAAATTCTATTAATATGCGTTCATTTTCATGTTTCAAGGGTTACCCCTAAATAAATGTAAGGGGTTGGTAAGTAGGTGAGTGGAATTTCTTTCAAGCCGTCCTAGAGTTGTCTTTTTCCAGAACAGGGGTGGGCTGGATCCGGCCCGTGGGCTGGATCCGGCCTGTCAGGGCTTTGGATCTGGCCCGCGGGCTTGCCACCCCTGTGGCGCCGCAGGCCCCGCGCCACTGCTGGAAGCGGCCGGCACCACGTCTCTGCAGCCCCTGGGGCAGAGGGGACAGTGGGTTCTGTGCGCTGCCCTTGCCTCCAGGCACCGCCCCCAGCAGCTCCCATTGGCCGGGAACAGGGAGCCATGGCTAATGGGAGCTTCAGGGAAGGTACCCGCAGGGGAGGACAGTGCGTGGAACCCTCTGCCCTTCTTCCCCCCAGGGGCCGCGGGGATGTGGTGCCAGCTACTTCCGGGAGTGGCGCGGGGCCAGGACAGGCAGGGAGCCTGTCTTAGCCCTGCTGCACGCCGCTGCCATCCCAGAGCCGCTCCAGGTAAGCGGTGCCAGGCCAGAGCCCATACCCCAGCCCCCTGCCCTGAGCCCCTTGCCGTGCTCTGCAGCCCAGCCCCCTGCCACATGCCTTCTGCACCCCTGTCCAGAGCCCCTTCCTGCACACCACACCCCAACCCTCTCCCCAGCCCTACATTCATGGCCCTATATGCAATTTCCCCACCCAGATGTGGTCCTCAGGCCAAAAAGTTTGTCCACCACTGTTCCAGAGCATAACTGCAGTGTGATATAAAGAAACTTGAATTGCTGTTGTCCATACTGGAATTATTTTGCAGATAAAGGCTTCAGTTTCTACACTTGTTAGTACTGGTGAAAGGTTCAAGGCTAACTGCACTGTGACACACAGTGCTTATTTTTCTTCTGTTTTATCTTGTAGGAATTTTGCCATTATAGTAGCAAATTCTGTGTACACAGATTTCTCCCCTAAAGTTCTAGAAACTATAACTAGCTTTTCTAAGGCCCTTGACTGCTAAAGGTTTAAAACTTTATTTTTACAACATGTAAGGTAAAATCCGGAAATCTTTCACATACTCAGCTTTCACTTTGTAAAGCTTGTGAGAATCTAATGGATAGGGAACACATCCTGAAACTTGAATCTACTGAATACTTCAATCAGACTTGTATATCATCATTAAAGTTTTCTTTATGACTGGAACATCAGTCTTTATAGTAGGTCACTTAAACTCTGACTTATGAAATTACTACTAAAAAGTAATTTTGACACTTGTATCAATACTTTTTGTTTTCAGACCATCTTACTGTGAAAGCTGCTGTCGCAAAGCAATAAACATTTAATAAGGAGAGAATGGGTAAGTTAGTTTTTTAACAAACATCTTTTCACATTTTTAAAACATGAAACATCTTGGGCTTTTAGATAATGGAATTGAGTAGGAAAGGACTGTGAAGTTTGGAGGTTGCATTTTTAAGCTTTACATAACAATTAATTTTGCTTACTATCTCATCATAATTAACTTGATTTTACGTGCTTGGAGCTGCCCTATCTGTCTCCATTCAAATGACTGCATAATGAGAAAATAACTAGATTTAATGTGGGCTTGGGTGGATTCAGTTATTTTTATGGACACTGACAAACACCTTTCCAGCTGTATTTCTTTTTAGCAACTTGAGCTTTTGCACTAATGGTAACTGGTGGAAAATCCTCATCTAATAATTATACAGTAATTTTATTTTGATTAACCCTGATAGTCCTGAAAGTAAGCCACATTTTCCTAACTGACTGCAAGACATAATTGTTAACAAGAATCTGTACAAGTGCAGTATATATTTGGTACACTTAATCGCTAATGTTTCCTTAACAATAGAAATCATTGATTTGTTTTTGGATGGAGGAAGAAATGACATTTACTAATATTTACTGATTAAATTCCAGTCTTCAAAAGTACGTCTCTATTCTCTTACCACCTCTGGATTCTGCTGGAAGGAAGTAAATTTATCACCAAGCCTCCTTATAATCATACTTGGACTTTTTCTTATTGTACTGACCCCAGATATTGAGGGTTTCTAGCATCTTACTGGTTATGTAAAAATTAAAATAAGTAAGCAGATTAATACAACCCTGAAAATGAAATCTTATGTAGAATATACAGTTCATTAACTTCTCATTAAAGTTACTTTAATCCTATTTACTATAGTAACTTATGTAAATGTATATTATTTTTGTGGGAAAAAAACACATGCTACCTGAAAAGAGACCGTGACTACAACGTCTAATTTTAAATTGGATTAAAGTGGTATTTTGCCTTCTTTTTTTTTTTTTTTTTTTTATCATCACTTCAGGTTTTGAAACTTGTTTGAATCTTTTGGCAGTCTTACCCCTGGATCAGCCAGAGACACAAGTTGAAATCTAATTAATGGGTTGGGGGGGGAGGGGTAAGAGAGGGAGAGGAGTTTCAGCTATTATGTCTGCCACTAAGCTCTCTGCCTAATTTTGTAGTTTTACAGTGACATTTACTATTGTTTAAATAATTAATTTTTCCTGCTGCTGTGTGAAAGAGTCACATAAACAGAGGAAACTGTTCAAAGTGCTGTCCAAAGTAGAAAACAAATTGGAAATAAAGAGAACATTTTGTTTACTCTTTGTTGCAGTAAACTTACGTTACTTGCAGTAGTAAGTAAACTTTCCTCAAATTGACTTTTTAAAGTTGCTGGAGTTCCTTTTTAAATGAATGCGTTAATACCAGGCAAAGACTTTTATTCTGTGAATTGCCCTCTTAAAAACATGACAACAGACACTGCCTGTAGGAAGAGATGTTTCTTCTTCATTTGGCAAATTCTTAATTACTGTCTTCTAATGTATTAACATTAGAAATATGCCCTTTCCCTGGTAATACGACTTCATGAGGAATGTTTAACAGCCATTTTAGAGCAAGCAGCAAGTATAGTCTCAGATTTGAGTAGCAGGGTTTATTTTATTATATAAAGGAAAAAAATAACCCTGAATGGACTTATTTCTTTTTCTAGAAATGACTGAAATCATGTTTTGACTCAATGGTCAGGGACAAGGGAAGGAGGGGACAGATCAGTAACAGTATATTAAAACTAAATTAGCTCTCTAAGGCACAAAGCTTTAAGTTTTGCTGTCTGCTGAATTTTTCACTTTAAAAGAAACAACTTCCTTGTCTTATCCTCCACCCTCTCCTTTGCTACCTTGCATGTCTTTATTTCTTTGGTCTTTCAGAGGTAAGCGCACTGAGACTTCATGCTTGTAATAAAGGCATAAGCTGTACTAGCTTTCTTCATACTACGAAAGTACTAACCGGATATTCTGAAAGTATCAGTTAATCTGTTTTCTATTACAGATGGAGAAGAGAAAACATACGGTGGGTGTGAGGGCCCTGATGCTATGTATGTGAAGTTGATATCCTCTGATGGTCATGAGTTTATTGTAAAAAGAGAGCATGCGTTAACATCAGGAACAATAAAAGCTATGTTGAGTGGTCCAGGTAGGTGCAATGAGTTTAGTAGCATCTTGTAATTCAGTTATTTCACTTTCCTATTTTGTGGAGTGTTTGGATTTGTATAATCTGTTATATAAAAGTTGAATTTCTATTATGAATAGTGACTTGTCCCAGTCCAGATTGGTTTCTGTTCCTACTTAGACAATTCAGCTTTATCAAGTCTTGTATTATCAGTTATATATAATCAGGTGCTAACTGTATATGAAGTCTTTGGGTGCTACTGTAAGACAAGCAATTACAATTACTTCCACAGACACAAACAGTTGTGATTTCCCCCCTCCCATTCCCATTCCTTCAAATGGCATGTATGTGGGGGAGAGGATTAGTTAAGATTAGAAGGCTACATTTTAAAATCTTTCAGTTACTGATAGCCAAAACTAATTGGTACAATCCCCATCTTGAAATTCCCTTGGATATCACTGGGGTGGGTACAGTCTGAAACTTGGAGCGTGCCCCAGATGTGCTGATTCTGCTCCATCCCTACTCAACCACTGGGCACTGGAGAAGTCTGGGCTGTGCACTGTTGCCAACATTTATGATTCTTTTGTGAGTGATGGGCATGGCTGGAGCCTAATCTTGTGAGGATGCCCAAGCTCTAACCCTCTAACAGACGAATCTTTTGATTGGTCATCTGCTCCAGTTCCCCACCTCCTGGGGCTAAACAATCAGTCGAGCTGTTGCAGGCAGAACTCTCCCCCCTGCCTCCATCCCTCAGTAACTCAAAGCTATTCTCATGGGATTGGACATCGGAGCTAAAGAGCCCAGCAACTCGGCAGTTCTGCTCCCTCCTTCTCTCTCCTCTCGTATGAGTAATGGGGACAGGATAGCACCTCTGCTTTTCCCCCACCTCCCCTCTCCCTTCTTGCGGCACTCAGCCTGGGATGGGGTGTGGGGTGGTGAAGAGCCCTTGGAGCTGCCCCCCACAATCCTGGAAGGTGGAAAGGGGACAGCACTGCAGCCCCTAGCCCTGGGAAAGAAGGGTAAAGAACCCCAGGAGAAGAGCAGAGGTGAGGCTGGAGTAATGTGCTGATGGTGGGGATGGGCAGAACTAATGAGGGAGCTGGGGACAGGATTGACTTGGGAGAATGGGAGCAGAACTAATTGCTGGGCAGAGGGTGGGCAAATGACGAGATGAGAGCTCCTGTAGCAAGGGCAAAAAATCACCTTACCCAATAAACTTGGGACAGTGGGCAATATTAATTGTTGCACACTGGGGCTGGGCAGGGAGAGTTCAAAAATTAAAAAACAAAACCAAAAACCACAATCTCTTTTTGGCACAGAACAGAGGGTTTTTTGTTTTTTAATCTCATGATTTTTGGGGCTTACTCATGATTTCTTGATTTTTGTCAATATTGGTGTAGTTACACAGCCTTTATCTTAATTTGTTGTCACGGGCTATAGCAGGGGAGTTCAGGGCAGCCTTGCCTCCTGCTTCTCTCCCTTTCTTCAAGCTGGCCCTGCAGGAGGGTGCTGCCTGCTCATTCCTGGCTCTCCAGAACTCCTCTCTGGGCCCCTGCGGTATGGGTCTCCCCAGCCACCCCTGACAACCACCTGAGCTCCACGACATCCAGCTGGTGTGTCTCTCCCCTGACAACCGCCTGGCTCCACGACATCCAGCTGGTCCACTTCCAAACTATGCCCAGAAAACATCTGTATACACTTGTGCATCATGCCATTCACTTTCTTGCCTTTGTGTCCTGCCCCAACACCACATTGTGAGACCTGCTGCCACCTGAGAAGGGCAAGCCAATCTGTACTCCACTCTGGTTCCACAACCGACTAGATATATTCGTTGGCGGCTCCTTTTGGGGAGTTACGAGTATGAACGTGTACTTAGTGTGGTTCATGAACTCCCCTGATGCCTGTCCCTTTCGTGATGAGAGGGAGACCCTGGCGCACATCTATGCAGAGTGCATCATCTTGCAGCCCCTCTTACTGAGGGTTCTGGCTGCAACTTTCCCCACACCTCCTGATCTATGCACACCAGTCACTCCAGGAGGAGGAAGCTGGATGTAGGGGGCACTCTGTGACTGTAGGGTCTATTTCCGGTCCCTCATTCAATCACATCTCTGGGCAGAGTTCCTCTGGGGAGTGTCCACTGAGGAGCAGCAGATGCTGTCAGGGGTTCTATGTCTGGTGTTCCCTTCTGGTTCTCTGATTTTTTTTCAACCTTTGACCTCACTCCTGTAGCTTTTTTTTTTTCTCCCCTTCCTCCCCCCTTTGTTGTCCCATGCACTCACTTGTAGCCTGAGCTTAGTGGTTCCTCCCCTTAGCTGAGAGGGTGTTCCTTTAATTTTAGGTGGGCCTATACATGCCTGTCCCACATCTGCAAATAGTAGTACATGGCTGTGACTCTGTGGGTGGGGCTTGCCAATTAAAAATCAAAAACGGCTACAGCACCATGAAGGACAAAGAGTCCAGTAAGAGTTCAGGCACCTGAGCTGGGTGTTCTATAAAAATGGTATAATCAGGTTCCATGGTTGAGCACATTATGTATAAAAATCATCAAGGTAAAACTGTTTACATGTGAAAAGATTCTAGCTGCCAGATAGACAAATTATATCTGGAGATATAGCAAATGGTCTGTGAATATGAACCTATATTAAAACTAAACCAAACTGCATCCGAATCCTCTTAAATTTCAGGGACAAAAGGGCATTCAGACTTAAATTTGGGTATAGGAAGTGACCTCATGACTGATTCTGGGCCTCATCGAAAACTGCAAGGGGGTTTATATTGTCTAGTTACACCACTTTGGCTGTTCTCTAATTAGTGATTAGATTCACATTTTTGAATTCACCATTCTATCAAATCTTTAACAAAAACCCACCAAAATGCATCTAATAAGCCAAAGAGGTGCACTTAAAGTGGTTCCTGATGGAGAAATCCATGGGAGGAGCATCTGGCTCAAAAGTTGTTCTTGGATCTCCTTCAGAACCTCATTCAGCGAGTACTCCATCCATAAAAGATGTCACTCCAGGTTCTCAGGGAACAAAGAGCGCTCATTCAGTCTTTGAGTTCTTTGACATTGAATTTCAGATTGCCTTATCCTCCCTGTCCATGGGAAGAGACTGTTTAGGAAGCAGTATGGTAGAAAGGGATCTAGGGGTTATAGTGGACCACAAGCTAAATATGAGTCAACAGTGTGATGCTGTTGCAAAAAAAGCAAACCTGATTCTGGGATGTATTAACAGGTGTGTTGTGAGCAAGACACGAGAAGTCATTCTTCCGCTCTACTCTGCGCTGGTTAGGCCTCAACTGGAGTATTGTGTCCAGTTCTGGGCACCGCATTTCAAGAAAGATGTGGAGAAATTGGAGAGGGCCCAGAGAAGAGCAACTAGAATGATTAAAGGTCTTGAGAACATGACCTATGAAGGAAGGCTGAAAGAATTGGGTTTGTTTAGTTTGGAAAAGAGAAGACTGAGAGGGGACATGATAGCAGTTTTCAGGTATCTAAAAGGGTGTCATAAGGAGGAGGGAGAAAACTTGTTCATCTTAGCCTCTAAGGCTAGAACAAGAAGCAATGGGCTTAAACTGCAGCAAGGGAGGTTTAGGTTGGACATTAGGAAAAAGTTCCTAACTGTCAGAGTGGTTAAACGCTGGAATAAATTGCCTAGGGAGGTTGTGGAATCTCCATTTCTGGAGATATTTAAGAGTAGGTTCGATAAATGTCTATCAGGGATGATCTAGACAGTATTTGGTCCTGCCATGAGGGCAGGGGACTGGACTCGATGACCTCTCGAGGTCCCTTCCAGTCCTAGAATCTGTGAATCTATAAGTCTGGTTCTTGGAGCAGCTCTTGGTACTGTATTCAACAGTACCATCTCTGACGCTCACTATGTTACCAACTATGGAAAGATCTGTGGCATCAACCTTTGCTCCCAGTACCATCAACCTTACAGGGCTTTCTTTGCTAATCCAGCAGAGCTCAGATTTATCCCAGAACTAGTGTCACCACTTTTAGATATCTCTTCACTATCCATAGTTTCAAAACCTGCCTGAGTACTGATTTATGAAGAATTCTTTTCATCCACTGGGTCACACAGAAAATCTGTGAGCCCGCCTCATTTTCAGTGACCCCCCAAGGGGAACAGTACCTTCTATTGAGGAATTCTATTCATCCCATCCTTTTTCTTCCAGTCAGGAAAGCATTTCAATGGTGACTGAGGTCTGTTTATCAACCAAGTGTTCTCTCTTCTTTGAGAATTTGTACATATGGATCCCATTCTTGGTGATCAGTAAGGAGTCCACTTCTTTAGGAGGAGGGAATCTAGGAGCTTATATAAATAAGGATTGTAGTACTGCCCAACCAAACTAAGCATCAGATCTGGAGGCTGACACCACTGAATAGTAGTTGATGAATGTATGAATGGAGTTCCATGTGATTTCTCTGCAAATTTCAGCTATGGTAGATCTAGGATATTCCTCCAGTGGTCACCAAACTTTTTACCTCATGCCCCCCCCCTTTCCTCTCTCCGCATCCTCCCCCCGCCCCCAGAATCATTGCTGGAAGTGGGGCCGTGGCTCTGACGGGGGGGATGCGGACAGGGGTAAGGAGGCTGGGGGCCAAGGCTGGGGCCACGGCTGGGGGCTGGCAACTGGGGCACCCAGCGTGGAGCTCCAGGCAGGGGGCTGGGGCCAGAAACTGCTAGGTGGCGCTCCCTCCCTGTGCCCCTGAAATGTTCCTCAGTGCCCCCCTTGGAGGGCGTGCCCCACAGTTTGGGGACCTCTACCTTATAGTAACTGGCTCTTTGAGATGTTCTGTACATGTGGATCCTATGTGGACTCTCTTTGCAGCTCGAGTCTTACAGCCCAGAATCTTGACAAAGGAGAAGGGAATAGCATTGGAGATGCTCTGCCTTTTATGCCTTTGGGAGGAATGACATGGGAGCATACAAGGTGCATGTGCAACACCGACAGACGCTAGTGTTTTAAAAGATTCTGATCTCAAGTGCATGTGCACCTATGAGTGGGGTCCACGTGTACAGAACATCTCTAAGACACAGTTACAGCAAGTTAAATAACTGCTCCTCCATCCACATAAAAAAACCTCTTCAGATGTAATAGATTATGAAAAGTGAAAACATTTAATGGATCTTGGTTTCAATGATACTTGAATATTTATTTGATGTGGATGTTCCCTATTTAAGTTGCATGGCTTTACAAAGTATGTTAAAATCTGCTTTGCCTTCCTACTTCTTCCCATGAAATTTGGGCTGGATTGTAGTCCTGCTCAGATGTAATTGACTGGAAATTAGTAATCAAATCTGCTGACAATTCTCAAGCTGGAAATAGAAGCTGTTTCACTCTCAAAAGCTGTATTGGCTCTGCAGGGATAATAGGAGCCCTATTGTGGTAGGTGCTGTGCAAACACCCAAAGGGTAGATACGGTTCTTGCCTTAACGAGCATGCAATATAATTAAAGACAAGACACAACAAGCAAATGACAAACTGTACAAAGGAAGGAAGTGCAATGGTAACAGAAGTAGGGTCATGTGGTGCCCCTGTTGTACAACTGGATGTTTCCAAATCACCTGAAAGGTTTATTTAAACAAAATAAACATCTCTCCCTAGTAGCCAGGCCACATGGTCATCATTGATTGACCTTCTTTCTTGTAGGTGTTTACATTAGTGTGGGTCTTACAGGGCTGAATATGGTACTCTCAGAGAGCACTCCTAGCATAGACTGAGATCGGGATCAAACCTTTGTTCCATGTATTGCTTGTAGGCAGTCATTAACCCAAACAAACAGAATATTTTTAAACAAAAAGGTGATGGAAATTATGTCCCTGGCTCCAGTAACTGTGGCATGTCTTAACACACTATGCTGTACATCTTGTACACTGAAAATGTCTAATTCCTAACAAGGGACTACACTAACATGAAGTAGTCTAAATGAGTTTGCACACATGCAATACAATTGTGTTCATTATCAAGGGAATTTTGATTCTGATTCTTTCTTCCTTTTTTTAAACAGGTCAGTTTGCTGAAAATGAAACAAATGAGGTGAATTTTAGAGAGATTCCATCCCACGTCCTATCCAAAGTATGCATGTATTTCACCTACAAGGTTCGCTACACTAACAGCTCCACGGAGATTCCTGAATTCCCAATTGCACCTGAAATTGCACTGGAACTGCTGATGGCTGCAAACTTCTTAGATTGTTAAATAAAATAAATTATAATAAAAATGTAAAACTTTTTTCAGTATTTAATACCTGTAGTTCAGTTAGTAACTTTTTTCATATAGCATGCTGCGTGTGTGCGGTTGAGAACTGTGAAGTTCAGTGCAGAGGCAATTATCTTCAGATCTGTTGCATAGTAATCATTCAAGTTTATATTTGTTTTGCTGCTTACACAAATAAGGCCCTTTTCACAAACAGACAAATAAATAAATATGCCAATTAGTAGATGGCTATGCCTTATCCTTTAGGTGTGGCAGAACTTTCTTTTAATGCAATGATCATTTAAAATACTGGAGTTTAAGCCAATGCTACTTAAAAGCTAATATTAGCTAAATGTGTAGGTGTTTAGCATTTCTAACTTTCTCTTATTGTTGCAATTTCTAAACCTCTGAACTTTATCACCTTACAGGGTAATTGTCCCTTTAGTATAGTTATAACTTCAGTTATATCAGCACTTGCATTATAAATCCCCTTTTTCAAGGATTTGTAAACTGGCATAAACATTTATGTTGGGCTGAAAACAGTATCTAGGATAATTTTTTATGGTGGTTTTTTTTAATTAAAATTTAGCTATGTTTTTAGAAATGGACAAGTATACCTGATTTATTTTTCAGTCATAACTTAACTCACCCCTTTGAACAATTTAAAATGTTCAGGTCACTTGTCTAATAAAAATGCAGCTCTTCTGATAGTGGAATTAGAATTAAAGAGCCATGTTATTAACTAATGCTAACTAGTGTATGTATACTCCCCTCTTCTGTTCTATATAAAATGTAAGTTTATTCATAATGTACTGTCACTTGACCTAATATACAAGATTTATAATGGCTCTTTTCCACTGTGATCAGTTATGTAAACTCTGTATTTACTCTTAGATCAAAGCGTTTTAAACTTCCTAAATATGGCTACCAAAGAGGTAGTTCTTTTCCCTCTTTTTTTTCCTCCCCCCCCCCTCCCCTGCCTCCCCATTGTTTATACAAGAAAAGCTGAATATTGGTGGCCCTTTTGTTCTTCATTGAAGTAAAGGGGTATTAAACAGATGTTTGAGAATCTTTCATAGATTTCTTAAATATGTCCAATGTTTATATTAAGATTTTAAGGGGAAAGGATTGGCAAGCCAACGATATTAACTCATTTTTGAATGGAACATGTAATTGTCCTTTGTTCAATTCCTGCTGGTAATTGCCTGTCATACTCATTCTTCTCTCATGTCACAAAACAAGATTCCATAAAACAAACATGGTGAACAGTGTGACAATAAGTTGCTTTCTTTAAGAGGCAGGCTGGAGATTTTTACTACCAAAATAATTCTTAGAAGAGGATGATAAATCTAACTTCAGCAGTAAGATGCAATAGCTATTGTATTCTTGTGTCATTATTTTGTGCTTTGGGCGTTGATATGAGACATTAAGCTGAAGCTAAAATGGCTTTGAGCACCCAGGAAATGCAGTAGTGTTCGAGAATGCACTGCGCAGAATGTTCTTGCTGTTAAGAAAATTAACCTACAAATAAAAGGGGGAGAGGGGTGGGGAAGCTAGTGCAATTTACTTGATAGTGAGATGGGTATGATAATAGACAAATGGAAACCTGCAACACTTACTCCCTGAGTTCTAAATAAATTTCATAATGGAAAATTTTTAAAACTTAGTTTTTGTTGGTTTGTGACTGCTTATCTTTAAGCAGATTTTTATATGAGGAATCACATGTTCACATTTATGCTGTGAATAAATTGTAAAATTTATAAAATTGATATTTGGGTTACAGATGGGCAAACCAGTGTGGATAAAATAACCCACCCAAAACCTTTCAACAAAATCATTTATAGACTTTAGGATGTTCAGAACTTTCCTCTCCCATGTTTAAGTGCTGCTTGTTATAACAGAAGCAGCCAACTACTGCTAAACCTTGTAACATTTCTAATTTACCTGGAAGTGGAAAGTATTGAGAAAATTTAAGAGCCTATTCTTAAATTCAGCTCACTTTTTTCCCCCATATACTAACAAGAATCTAGACTGCTAGGTGCCAAAATGAACTTTTTAAGGTATGCTCATCTCTAACTTTGCCATAATTGAAAGCGTATGATAAATATTTACCCAAGTCTAGTCATCAGCTAGATATAGCTGGAGACTAAATCTTCTTTGGTTGTGTATATTTCCAGTTTGATTGTAGGACACATCAGAATTCTGTGTAAGTTACGATGGAATAATTTGTCTGTTCACAGTTGATCATCTTCCACATACAATGGCCTGCCACAAAAGGAGCTTTGCACTTGAACCATCAGAATTCCATTCAACCGGCTGAAATATATATATTAAAATTAAATCTCCAGGTTCAAGGGACACGTGCCACAAGGTTTAACTAGGCCACCATTTTGAGCTGCATGAATGTTTATGCAAATATAGCATCTTTCAAAGTTCAAAGTGTTTATTGCCAAATGGTCTCGGAATATGTGAAATATGAGCACTTCAGTTTTTCAGCTGGTGTTTGTATAGTACATCTCTTCTTACCTGGTCAATGGGTACTGCCTGCTCTTTTTCTTCATTGTTTGTAATATCCATTAAGCTTGGAAAAAATGGTTTCCTTCCCAGCACTGAATAGATCTTCTGCTTACATGGTAAATGTTCTCCACACCTTTCATCTAATGAAACAGAGGCAAACTTGCTTCTCATTTTCACTTTTATGTCCCAACATAAGGATTTTGTGTTTTTGTGTATCTGGTGTCAACAGCTCTTAGAACAGTTCAACTGCTACTGCAGAGTCAGCAAAAGCACAATGTCCTTGTATGGGTCCTACAAAAATAGTGGTTTCTTCTAGTCGGAAGGTAGTGGAAGGGTGTAATTTAATCTTGACAATTGAACGGGAAAAATATGCTAATAACTTTTTATCTTAAGGTGAATCAGGTTTGGGTTTAAATTACTTGACTATGTTCTTTTAAGACAGAAGGACCAAAGCTTTGCAGTTAGCAAACAGTAAAATGTCATTTAGTTGGGTTTTTTTCCCCCAGGGAAAAAGTAGTTCAGCTTTGAAGAATGCTTTTGTGACAAACATATCAACTCTGTTAGAATTGGATTTATTTTTAAAAGCAGCTTACATGATGGCAATGTTATAAGAAAATAGTAATGGTGTGAATTCGATACATTGCACATGGTTTAAAGGTATACATCCAAGAAGATTAAAAAGTAGTAGCTTTTCTGACAACTCACTCTTGAGAGAAGCTTGTGTGAGTAACCTAACTAGAACAGCCACAAGGAAAATACAATACAAGGGTTACTTTTTATCTAATCAATAAACGCCTTTTAAACCATACTAATTTAACCAATCTAATTGTGTGCCATGAACCTAAAGTTTTTGAGACCGTCGCATCCAGAAATGTAAATTGGGAAGTTTGACACAGTTGCATTAGTTCAACATCATATTATGTTTTTGGTAATTACACTAAATGATAGAGTTTACCAAGTTGAAATGAACGATTGGGATATCCTGTTAAGTAACTAATAAAAACCAGAATTAAGCATCTACAGTTCCATATTGGCTCCAAAAATCAATTCCCAGAATAGTATTGAATTAGAATAACTACTTCTGTAGTGAGATTTTGATTTATTTGCCAGTTAGGCATTAATTTACCAGTTGGGCCTTTTCCTTCTCCACTAGAAATATCACCAACTTCTCATATTTATTTAACAGTTGAACACTGTAACTATCTTCTCTTGAAAATCACCATGATGTGTAACCATAGGTAATATGTAACTCTAATCTTAGTTTGCCATAAACTCTTCTGTCACTCCTAACCAAATGTTAAAACATGAGTGAATTCTTTAGCTTAAAAACTCATTAAGTTCACTATCTCTTGTCTGAGCTCTGAAAAGCTCTGTTTGGTGTGATATCACAAAACATGTTTTATCTGAAAAATGCCTAAGATCTATCTGCTTTTAGCATGCATGCTTTCTTTCAGCTATCTTCTCAATGCATGTAAACACTATTTCCGTAGAAGCAGTGTTTTGCTGAACTAACAGATTTTCCAGTCCATTGCACTCCATTATTTGAGTCAGAATTATTTCTGGAGAGCTATGTGCAACTTGTAGATTACAGGTGAATATCTCACTAACATCTAAGTCACTTTCAAGTTTTTCATAATCTAAGTAAGTACCCTCTGAGGTATTTAATTTAGAATAAAATTATGATTTAGGTAAAAGAACGTATGTGTCTAAAAGTTACTTATCAAGTGAAGCTGGTGTGTAGATAAGATGCACTGTAGATCTGATGATTCTCAATAGATGTAGAAACCTCAGTTCACAGCAGTATTATTACTGTAGTCATGTTCTAGTATTTCTTTGATCCTTCCTAAGGAAATCAACAGAAAGTTAGCAAGATGTTTATCTGTGATCAATCTTAGCTCTTACTAGTAATTCAGCAGCAGACTATGTGGCCTAGTCTGCAGTAGAAAAATTGCATCAGTTTAACTAGAGCTATTTTAAATAGATGAAGCTAAACTGGTTCTGGCCCCTAATGTACATGCACTTACACCAGTTTAACCTTTGCTTAAATCAGTTTAGATTAATTAACCTAACCTGATTTAAGCAAAGGTTAAATTGGTGTAAGTACATGTACATTAAGTGTTTGCCCCAGTTGAATTAAAAAATAGAAATTTCAAACGTGCAGCTCTTCTACTATAAAAAAAAATGTTTTGTCTTGTTTCTTGTCCAGATGATGGTTTGGCTTGTGAGAAGCTATTTGTTGAAAGCATCAGGATTGATTTATTCATGTGGGCTATCTGACTGCTTCACTTTTTGAAAAGCTGATGTGTTTAATCCAGAACCCAAATCTTACTTCATATAAATTGGAGTCCATTTAAAATACTAGTTTGCTATATGCATTTCCTTTTCATAGTCAATGAGAGACGAAGGCATCTGTTTTCTGGTTTCATATTTGTAACTGCACATTTATTGTGAGATTGCTCTCAAAACCTAAACTCCATTTATCTCTACATTCAAATGTCATGGGGCATCTTGCTTCTGCTTTTGGAATTTCAG